GTCCCTGCCCTGGTTGTGAAGACAATTCTTGAAGGGTATGTGAGGTTTATTACAAATGCCCATATACCATAAATTAAGACAGGATGCCTCCATTTGAGCAAGGCAGACTAAACTCAGGTACAGCAAGGACTGATAGGCTCTGGGGAAAACAACCATGGCCCTGAAGATGAGTTATGGACAAATAAAAGGAATCGCTACTTTATACAGAAGTAAACATAGTTTAGACCTGTACAAAGGCATTGAAAATGGAAATTGCTGCAGCAGAGATCTGGAACAATTCTCAACTGAGAGAACAGCAAGGATCTTTGTGTAATTTGAATATACTCATGGTCTTCAAGGACTGTCTTTCTGTACAGAGTGCATCATATTTCCCTATAACAAGTCCATTGCTAGTTTTGTCAGAATATTCTGCTAGGTGGACCACTGTTCTTTAATTCATTATTTTTCACATTCTAGCCATGGTAAAGCACCTGTGCCCTCACACCGCTTGGAAACTGAAATAGAACACAGACGCTGCAGAGGCTTGTTTACTTCCACATTTTCCATTTTTGCCGAAAGGGTTCCCCTGGGCATCATTGTGCCAACAGTGCGAATTCTCTCCTCGCAGCTGCACAGGCTTTCCTTCTGGCCTTTCCCCCAACCCCTCCTAATTTACTGAGATGATGGCCACCAATGGGACACTTCCTTTGTCTGGCTGGGATGACAGATGGCAGAGCTTCCACCGGGATTGGCATTAATAGGACTCAGAGGAGTTTCGGAGACTGAATTGAGAGGCCATTCCTCTCCCGCCCGACTTGGGGCGTCACAGTTTTTAATCCATCTATGTATTCACCTTATAGGCAAAAGGGAAGAAGGCAGGGGAGATTATTATTCAGTTGCTTTTAGCATGTATTCAAGAGAAGAACAATGAACTTGGACTAAAAGTACCGATGTGACTTAATCACTAACCAAATGTCCTCTTTGTTACTGAAGTCAAAATTCCCAGAAAAAATATTTTAACACACCCTTGGATAAAGATGATTTATTTTTATAAGCTGTAGCCAAGCTTATAAATTGAAAACTCATACATACTGCAGCAAACCATCTGTCAAGGGGGACCCAGATGAGCTAAACAGATGCAACAATTCAAGTTATTTCAGACATGCATAAATAAAGCTAGCTTGGAGTCAGGATTAAAAAATACTCCAACCCTAACTGCTTTTAAAATGTCAATGGGAACTCATCAATGTCAGATAACCCTCTCTATATAGAGTAGTTCACTGAGAGAGAACATTTTCCATTCTTAGCATTCTTCTTCCTGAGGACTTAGGACTGTAGGTCATAGCAGAGAACTAGAAAAGTGAATAAATGGCAAAAGAATTCTTTCTCAGGCTACCCAATGTTTTGGAATTAAATAAGAAATACCAATTCTGTATGAATGAAAGGAAATGCTTTAATTTAAAAATGTTGAAAGTTTATGGACTGCTTACTACTCAGCAGGCAGTGTTTTAAGTGCTTTGCACATATTCATTAATTTAATTCTCACAACCATACAGGATAGGTACCATTTCTATCCCCATTGAGCAGACAAGAAACTGAAGCTCTGAGAGGTTAAGGAACTTGATGAAGGCTACAGCACCAGTACATACAGAGCTAAAATCCTTCATCAATCCTTTATGCTCCATTGCTTCCGAATACACCAAATGTCTTATTTAGCTCATAACAATATGGTATCCAGGGTCTTGGAAGACTCACTCCTGACTCTGGAGACCCTTAGCTGTCTTCACCCAGACACATCTAGTACAAAATAGACACAGACAGATAAATCAACAGAGAGAGCTATCAGGAGGAGCCAAGGGGTTTCTTCCTATCCCTGGTCCCAGCTTCCTCTATGGTTGCCCAGACTATCATCTTTCCCCAATCTTACTAACTTTGAAATCTTTTCTTCTGAATCCAACTCTGAACTTTCCAGCTCCTTGAAGGACTCTATCATGTGCTTGTCTCACTGACCATCCCTTTTCTACTAAATTTGCATTGTGCCCATTGGTTTTTGATTTTAACAGTTACATATGAAAAAAAGTTAAAGATAAGATGGGAGAAATTCTGCCTACAGAAAAATGTTTTCCAATAGCAGTGTTTCTCTGAATGGTCTTCTGCCTGTCTACTTAGGTATCACTTTCAGGGTTTGAAAGAAGGAATAGATTCTGAGTGTGTGGATGGTGGATTTTCTTTTAAACAAGCTCTCCAGGTGATTCTGTTACACACTAACATTTCAGATCCATTGATGGATACAGAGGGTTACATATTGAATCACCCCAGGGGTAATACTATAGTTGCTTATCAAGGAGAGCACTGAAGTGTCCTTTAATAAAGAAGTAGCCATGGAGGAACTGGTCAACAAGTTAGCATTTGCAATTCACATGGAAATTTGCAGGCTATTAACTATTGAGAATATTATAATACATCACAGAGCATAGTATTTTGGAAATTTTATTTAGGTTCTTCCTCAGAAACAATGGTCCTATGAAGTGAGATAAAGTCAATGGCCCTTCACAGAAGACAAGGTGCTATGTCAGAGTGGCCTAGGCCACCCTTCAGATGAGTAACAGAAAAGAGCAAAAATAAGATTGGGAAAGTTCCGACACTGCCTCCAAACCTGTGGCTGTTTTCCCAGGCATTTTATCCACAGATGTGTGTGTGAGTGCATGTGAACAAACTGGATTTATCACAACTTAGATTTAATTTATTTATGGTAGAGCCCTTCAACCCCAAAGCCCTTGCCTACCCTGTATTATTTTGAATTTAAATGCTAGAATCCTCAAAGGCTTTCTCAGATGATCCAGGTAGCCATTATTTGCATAATAAGTTTCAGGGAGCTATTCTGACCTCATCTGTGACTTCTAAATCCAAAAGGAATGGTTCTAAGTGATCAATATCACCTGGGAAAGTTTTACCATCTTCTCTTTGTCTGGCCCTTGCCCAGACCTATCAGGTCAGAGCCATTAGGGATGGAGCCCAGCAAGCCATATATTTATAAAGTTCCTCTAATGACTTGGCAATCAGTATCACTTAGCAATATTATTGCAGTATTAATTGCACTATATTCCCACTTTCTGGCAAACTTTATTAATGTGCAAACTGAATTACAAAAACTTAACTAGTCTTTCTTTGTTTTCAGTTTTTAGAAATACACACATTTGAAATCCTATATCTACTCTTGAGTACATGGTAGTCTTTTTGCCTGACAATGCAGATTCAGGGAGTCCTGCATACATGGCCCCCTTCCAAGGAACTGCCTATAATTTTTAGATGTAATTTTGTATTCATCTTTTTAAATAAAACATTCCAAATTTTTTAAACATTGGACATGGCAAACCCTGAATCTACCCTTTCTATAAATAACAAAGTCATGTACATAACAAAGGTGTGTAAAATGGTCCTAAATTAGGTATTTTTAATAGATCATGTTTTTTAACTAATGTGTCCTCCAATTCTTTTTCTTTTTTTCTTTTCCTTTACCTAATGCTCTGCACTTAAGCAGTATATTTTTGAAAGGCATTCTGATGGTCAGAGACAATATTAGTGCAGTGATGGCATGGGAAAAGAGCTGGTAACAAGAACAGATGGTCTAGGCAGAGCCCACCCAAAGGGATATGGTGATGCCATGTGTGTGATAGCTGTTTTAGAAGTCTGAGAGGATAGCATGCTGCAGAGACTAAGTGGGGACTCTGAAACCACTCTGTGTGACCTGAACTCAAATTGATTGATTTACTCCGTGAATTTAATAGATGGACCTCATTCATTTTGAATAGGAATGAAACCTGCTGCATCCTCCCTATTCATGAGCTCATCCTCCAATTTAAAAAGGTGGCCTCATGCTCAAAGTGGAAAAAAAAACCCAGCCTCTTTGCTGGGAAGCAAAGGTTTTTTGCAGTATTCAAATGTGAATGTTTTCTGTGTACAGGCTATTTTTATACAGCAGCACAGACGGGAGGGTAAGCAAAGATTTCTTCAGCAGTTTTTATTATAGCAGGTGTAGGATCCTAGGCCATTGTCCTTAAAACACACACACACACACACACACACACACACACACACTCACTCACTCACTCCCTGCATCTGAACAGCTTGGGAACAAATGTCACCCTTTATCTGTGATCATTCAGCTGTCTGCTTGTTGATATAAAGAAAAAACATAACTCCAAGAGTCTTTTTTTAGATTAGAATGACTGAGATGTTATGAAAGTATTATAATAGATCATATTTTAGTCATTTCAAAAGTGATAAATATCTGAAAATAAAATAATCTGAGAATCCACAGAAGAATCACTGCAGAGGAACCTGGGCTTGGATACAGAGGTAGATGTAATGAAATTAAATGATAAGTGGCCTAACTCCCTAAAGGCATGGGGACTGATTGGATCATAGAGGAACAATGTTTTTTTTTTCATATCAGTCACAAGTGAAAAAGCATAAAGTGTATTAATGTTGAAAATATATAGCAGAAGTTGTGCAGAAGAAATCCAATGAGCAAGATCAAAGCAGAGTGGTATGAGCAGTATGGTAGAAATAACTATCTGTATTAAAAATCTGTTCTCCCCCTTTGATAATCATACTGCAGAATGCTAGATCGACACAAAGCAGCTGCCTAACTGCATTTCTCTGCTCTCCTTAACTCCAAGTCAAGCCATCAACTAGTCACTGCCAATGGAACTTGAGTGGAGGTGACAAGTTTCTTTTCTAGGATAAGGCAGTTAAGAAGCAGCTAAGCCTTCTTAATCATTTCCCCATTCTTTTTACTCCCATCTGCCTGCTGAATGTTAACATTGTAATTGTCAAGCCACCAGAAGTGTGGGTCCCAGACTGATGGCACTGAGTCCTCAGTCCACCCAAACCCCCTTGCATTGCTAAGTGAATGCAAGATCAAATTAAATGTATACTTCTCAAAGGTCATTGTTTGCCTTTTACAGCAAACACTAGACAGGAGAGAATCAAATTGTGTTCAAAGTTGAATAACTTACCTGTTATGTGAATGCGATACTCCTCCTTGAAGATCTTCTGGAAGAAAGGAATCTTGAACTGCATGTGAGGAGTGTGTAACCCAGGGAGATTTACATCAACGTCTCCCATGAAGTGTGGGAATTCCCAGTCCTGTCAGAGAAAATTAAGCATATTTGTGATTTGTTTTGTTCCTAAGAAGCAAAACACCAAAACCTTATTTTTATTAGCACTTATTTTAAAATAATTTAAATTCAGCAGCTGTTGGATGTAGCAACATCCAACCGTGATGGTTAGTTTATATACATCAGGTAGCAGTTTGAATTCAAAATCAAAATTAAGTCATAGCTAGATCCTTGGATTTTTCTCTTTAATGTGATAATAAGAAACTAACATAAGAATGATTTATATCTACATACATTATCTCTTTCATTCTGGAGCACTGATCTTAAATTATTAGAGGAAGAAAGTGATCTGTGTTTAATAAATTTGGAGTAAATTTGCAATATTTTGTCTTGCTACTTCCAAAAATATGAACTCTATAATAACAAGGTTGATATAATAAAACAAAGAGGATCTGGTTCATTTAATCAAGTTCATCACCTCACGTCAAGGGACTTTTATCAATCATCTCTGCTAGCAACTGCACAGAATGACAAACACCAAAGAATCCTGCTCTCCATATTTAGTTAATCTTTTAACCAACTTGAGTACGAAAAAAGTTATGAATGAAATGTTAACTCCAGATTTCAATCCATGAATTGAATAGAAAACCATGAAATTTATCCAAGACTCCTACATATGGAGCTGACAGAAGTGTGCTAGTAATCTAGTGTGCGTACTTTGTGTGTTCATGTGCATTCCGCTACTCTGCTGAACATTCTTGTTAGGAACAACAAGCCTTGAGGAAAGGAGAATATATGAGTGGCAGTAAACAGCCAAGCCATCAGTATCTATCAGTTTCCTAATCAACGGATCACCTCAAGCTGCTAATAGGAAGCTGCTAATGGGAAAAATGAAATTATATACCATCACCTTCCTATCAGCAGGTATAAATCACTTGTTGGTCTCTTCTGTCCTTGTCTTTCAGTCAAAGACACCAAATAGACATGTGGCTTAGGAATATCAGAAAACCCAAAGCAACTAGGGATGTATGAATTCAGAATATTTTGATCTAAAAGATGAATAGAAAATGGTTTGGTATCAATACCTGTGAACAATTGCTGAGATTGAAGTGCAGCATTTGCTTTTTCACTCCAACATTAGTACTATCTTTGTTCTTCCTATGTTATTTGGAAAACTCTCAGAAAGAAATGTGACAGTGAATTTAGCCACTTGCTAAAAGATAACTGATGAAAAGTTATGCCTGATAAATGAAATGATTGATAACCAGAATATCTTTCACTTGGTCTGGATAAATGACAATAGCATTATCAAAAGAGCTAGCTTTTATTTCTTTGTTTAAGGTAGAAAATACTTCTTGGTAGTAATTGGGCCACTATATTTAGAATCAGCTTCTTTTTAGGAAGAGATTTTTTTATGCTCCCATTTAGCTTTCCTTCCATGAAACTGAAGTTTTCCACTAGGTGTGAAATTGGTTTTCATTTGAAAACAATCTCTACAGATTTCTTGCACATTGTGATCAAAACCTCATTCACTAAAAAATAGTCTTTCAATTATTTTCTACCTCTTCTTGGAGATAGAAAGATGAGTTAAGGAAACAGGAAGAGGAGGTAAATGGGGGAAGGGAAAGTCTTGGTCTTTATATGGAAGATGACTTTACTTTTGTTTGTTTGTTGTTTTTAGGATGATCAGGGAAGGGAGTTGTTGATGGTGGGTGGAGGTAGTGCAGTATAAAAGAAGTAGTGAGTGCCGTGTTAGATCATTTCTAAAAGAAGATAAATAAAAGAGATAATGTCTCATTCATAAAGTTTCCCAAATCCACCTTTTTTTATTTTCTACAATCCTCATGCCTTGCTTTTTTCAAAACTCTTTTACTTAATCTCCTCACTTCCTGCTTCCATTCTCTCTACACTATTTCAATTTTTGTACTTTAATTACTACTCTTCACATACATCTTCAGATTCATTAATTCTTGAGTCAGTGTAAACTCTGGTCTGACTTGGAGTAGAATAGTTATAATTATTACTGCATGATTTTCTATTTTGCAGGATATTCCAAGCTCGTCTTAGTGGAAAATGATTATCTGAAGCTGGTGGAATCTTGGGCATTTATTTAACAATGAGAAATGAGGATGGTATTCTGAATCTCTCTAGGTTTTAGTCTCTCTACATATTAGTGTTGAACATCTCACATACTTCTTAGGGGATGAAATAATTAATGCCTGAACAATTGGCATATTGATGGAGAGAGAGGGGAAGAAACATGGAAATGGTCCATAAGCATGGTTGACTTCCTTTCATGATTCCAAGGTCAGGTTTATCCTGAGAGTGAAGTAGAGGAAACTGATGGGTCTGTTTCACATTGGCTGCTTCAATGTCTATGTGGTAAAGAAAGAAAGAAGGAGACCTATTTTTTCCTTTTTACCCTCATCCATTGCACAATACTGTCCCTGCAATGTCTCTGACTGGGACATGGGTCAGAGAAAAGTTCTCTGAGAGACCACCCAAGGCAAGGCCATAGAGGCCTCAGAGGCCTATAGCAGTGGCCTCCTGAGGAAAATGCAAGAATAATTTCTCTTGCAATATGAGTCACACTGAGTGGCCTCCAAAATAATTGTGAGTATTTTAAAGGTTCAGGAGGATGGGGGAACTGCTACCATGCATGTTGGAGAGTCAGCAACATGTGCAACCAAAGGTTGAGGAAGTCTATGGATATATGGGTTATAAGTCATTGAGCACTTGCAATGTTCTCTTATCATAATATTGGTTCTAGACTATATACTCACATATATTTACACAGAAAATGACCCTAAAATTTTACTATTATTGAAACATTTCTACCACTTTATTGAGCTATAGTGGACAAACAAAAATTATATACACCTAATTAAGATGACAATGTGATGTTTTCATATATATATATGCATAATAAAATGATTACTACAATCAAAATAATTAATATATCCATCTACAGCTGAGAAAATTTGCCTCAGAAAGTTAGGTAAGGTGGCCTAAATGCCAAGCAGCAGATCCCAGGTTTTATCTGGTTTCAAAGAATACATGCTTTCTCCTGGTCCAGGTTGTCTGTAAGCATGAAAAGTGACAATACTTCCTATTTTCAACTCAGAATTGGAATTATTCTTACTTGCTCTGTATGTTCTAATTGAGAATTACTGATGATTGCTAGCTCATACTGAGAGCAGTAAGAGCCAGAGCCATAGGTCTTTAAGGTACTTTTATTTTCTCCTAGGGAGATATTATTCATCTGACCCTAATGTGAAAAAAATCAACTTCTGCATTGAAGCCATTACCCCAGATATTGCTGGCTTATAATCTAATCAGACTCAGGTGAGTGGGAGACTTGACTAATGAATGAGTGATAGCAAACACTGAGAATTGTCTTGGCATTATGACGACTGTATACAAATATTATGAGCGTCATGGCTTTCTCTCCTTGTGCATAAGTGTAAAAATGATATTTTGAACACAAGCTAAAAAATACTTATTTAGGAAAATGACAAAGCAAGATGTGTTCAGCTACTAAGCCCAGGGTAGACAGGAACATCATGGAATTGTGTATTATAAAATGTCCACTCATTTTGTTATTTAAGAAATATTATCAGTGTTTAGTATTCAAAGCTTTCTTACTGTTCTTTGCTATTAAATATAGCAATAAATGTGGAGGTCTATCAGACTTGTGGTTCAGTGATGTGAGAATTATTTAGGCACATGGTATTATGTTATTCCAGTTTTCATCAGTTCATGATGAGGTATCCAGTGTGAATAGATTTCCATCTTTGCATCTGCTTCATATATTGAGAGACAGTTAATTTTCATTCATATGGGCATATTTCCCATATAAAAGTAAATGAGCAGTGTCATGATATATAGCTAATCTTATTTCCTATATACTATGGTCTATTTCTGCCTGTAGCAATAAAAATCAGTTACTGGTCCCTATTATTCCTAGACCACATTTGGGCAGAATTTCAGGACAATGTTAAGTATATAAGCAAGATGGTCTCATGACATCCTGGATTCATCATTTCCCATTGCTTTCTCATTGAGATCCATGCCTCAGGGTCAAAGAAAAGAACTTGGTACTATTCAGAAGAACTCAAGCTTGAAACCAACACTGTTTTGAACTCCCTGATCGGCATTCAATTTCTCAAATCAAATGACAAAACTTCATTTCTATTTAGGGAAGCATTAGAGGATAAAAATGTAATAACACTTACTACTCTACTCTGAAAAACTAAAGCTGTACTTAAGATTAATGACTTGATTTTTGAGGAAATTAAGAGATTTAGATTAGATTTTACTCAAAAGTTGGAAACCTCTTAAAATACAATTGACAGCAGAGTCTTAAATGTTACCATAAAATACCAACATTTTTTGTTATAATTATTTATGTTTCCTTTTTATAGGTATTAGATTTTTAAGCCTCAAATAATTTCAAAAGCCAACTTTACAGATGTATTTCTTTTTCTTTGCTAATCTCTATTCATCCATATTTCAGAACTGAATTTAGATCCATGAATATCTTAACATCATTCTACCAAAAATTTCCACAGCTTATAAAGTGTCCTTTAGCTTTTCTACGCTTAGCAGTGTCCTAGCAACAGGATTTTAGATGACAGGGAGCAGTGGTGGCTTGAAGAATTGTACTGTGCTTTGGGTGATATTTTTGTTTCTTATTAAGAAACTAGAGTGCCTGATTTTTTTCAGCAACCTGTGCTTTTTCTAATTGGAAAAGTTACCATAGTATCACTTGGCTGAATTAATCCTTCGAAGCCTTGACATATATATATATATAGTAGGTTTTGCTTATTTATTTGTGCATTGTCTGTCTCCCCCACTTGAATGTAAGATCCAGGGAGCTTAGAGGAATTTTTTCCTGTTTTTGCTTACCACTGTATTCCCTGTACCTAAAACTAGGTTTAACATATAGTAAGAACTCAGATATTTGTTGAATTGATGAATGGAGCGTTCTGAAAGTTAAAGCTACACAATAATCCTTTGGTATCA